AAGGCAGGAGGAGATGGAAAAAGAGTGTTTGGATGTGTAGTAATGGTTGTTGATAATTATTGTTGGTTTGGATGGATGTTATGGAGTTGGAGTTTCTTATAGATGTTGTTACCTAATCTTGTACAATGAGCCTACATTGTCGGAGGGGTAGGTGAAGAACTTTCATTGTCGTCACCAGCTCGTGTTGTGGGGGTAACTAGAATCTCTAGTCTTCACATATTATCCTACTAGGTTTCTCCAATCACCAGCATAATACCTGCAAACTAACCAGGCTTATTGTTAGTTGTATTGGCATTGGCTGCCATATCCTTCTGGATATAGTGGGGCGCAACTCCTTGGATACTTTCAGATAATAATAGTTGTACACCGGTTTCTTAGATGTATTTAGTTTAGCCATTAACAAGTAAACAACACCGGATTTGGTAATGATGACCATGTCAATCTTTTGAAGGGGATAAACTATCCGTCCTTTTTCTGTGAGGCCATGGAAGAGAGAAAAATTTTGAAGCCCACGTCTTAAGAGAAGTTATCACTTCTGCATATGGTCTTAAAAAAAGGAAGCCGACTGGCCAGGGGGTTGATATTATGGAGAGCGAGTTTATAAAAGAAAGAGAGGCCTAGAAAGAAAACCTTCAGGAAGAAGGAAAAAACCTAACTTCGGCAGGGAAGGGAAAAAGAAAAGGGGAGGAGGTAATTTTTTATAAGAGAGTCTAAAGAAAGGGGGGGTAAAAAATAGAGAAGGGGAAATAAAAAGATATGGGAGAGGAGAAAGGAAAGAGCGAAGAGAAAAAAGAGTAAACAACTTAAAAATTTCCTAAAAAAGAAATTTCCAAGCGCAGAAGGGGGAGTGGGAAAGAGTTTTTTTTTTTATGTAAGAATATAATATATATACGTATATATTTAATACAATAATAAAAAAATTTTAAAATTTTTACAATATGTTATAAATGATATAAAAAGATTTTTATTAAAATAAACTTTATAAAGTTTAATAAAATCTATAAGACTATCTTTTAATTTTCAATTTTTATTAATTCAATATGCAATAATTTCAAGAAATGCAATTTAATTTGAAGATATTTAATAATCTAATATAAAAAAAATTTTAAAATTCAATATCTTATACAATATTTTTTATTAATCTAAATTAATCTACATATAATCTAAATCAATTGACATTTAATATTATATAGTTTAGAAACCTATCTTTGATCACAGGTAATAACAATAATTTCAAAATTATTTTTTGAAATTTAAATTAATAAAAAGACATGTTTAGTATATAAAGTTTTTCTATATTTTTTTTATCTTAAATTAAGACTTGTAAATATAGTCAAATTATTAAAAATTTTATTAAAAAGTTTCAACTTTAAAAAATATGAGTAATTATTTTTGAAGGTGGACAGAGATTTTTCAAACACTATAATTGTGCTCCTTAAATTACATTATATATGTATTGTTTAAAGTAGGTGCTGAAAAAAACACATCTATCCTTTTCATCACCTTCAAAAATAATTATCCATAAATATAATTTATATATAATATAGAAATAGTCAATATTTATTGAATACTTTGAAATAGTAAATATTTTTTATTAATATTATTCTTATATAATTTATTATATATAATATTCAAAAACAAATCCAACTAGAAATTAAAAAATATATTAAAATTAAGTATATAAGTATTAGGTTTTATAGCTTTTGAAAAAAGTAATCTTTAATTAATTAATTTTTTAACAATCTGTTTTTGTAATTTTTTCTTTAGAAACTTTTCTAAAAATATAAATTCAAAAAATATAATATTAATAGATTAATAGATATTAATAAATTTAAAATTATTGATCAAAAAATCATCAGATACTTATAAAAAACAAATATATTTCCATAATTAATCTTTTATAAATAAATATATTTTGAATTTTATATTAAAAAATATATTAAAATTAAGTAATTAATCATGATATTAATAAAATAAAAATTTTTTAATAAGTACAATTAAATTATTCTTTACAATATAACTTGATAATTTTTAAATTATAAAAAGTTTTATAATTTTTTTCTTTTTACTATATTTTGTTTAGAGAATAACAATTATTTTTGAAAAAAAAAATATTTAAAAATTTTTTAAAAATTTTTTTAAAAAAAAGTAATAAAAATATAAAGTTTTTTTTTTGTATTAAGAAGAAAACAATTAGATTCTAGACTTGTTTTAAAGAGTATTAATTATTTTTAATTTCTATTTCAATATTAAATTGTAAAAATATATTTTTAATATTTTTTTAAATTATAAAATATCTTTAATCTTTTAGTAGTTGCTTAATTGTTTTAATTCATTAAAATTATATATGATTAAATTTATATATGTTGCTTTTTTATCAATTATCTAATTAATGAATCTCTTATTGTTGCTTTTTTTTTTATAAATTTTATTTTATAAATTTTGATAATACTGATTTATTTTATCAAAAAGAATTTAATATAGTTTTAATATTATAATATATACTGTATATAATATTGTTTTCAAAAATATTTATAATAATTAAAGAAATCAAAAATAATATAATTTAATAATTAATTAAAAATAAATTTCTAAAGTTAATGTTTTATTAAACTAAAAACAAATAATATATGCTTTTACAAAAAAAAAAAGTATAGAAGATAAATAATAATAATAATTAGTTAGAAAAATATATAATATAATTAAAAATCAGAAAATATTAATTAATTATATTATATTAAAATTGATATAAAAGTTTGTAAAACATGTATAAAAAAATTTTTTTTTTTTTTATATATAAAAAAATGGTTTTCTACTATATATGCTTTTATAATAAGAATCTATAAAAATAAAACTTAAAAATTAATAAAAATTAATAATTTGTTATTTGTTTTGACTTTGTTATTAAAAATTGTAAGTTATAGAGTTTTGAAATCTTTGCAATTCCAAATTGTTATTGTAATTAATCAATTTTATTTTTTTCTGAAATTATGTGATATATAAAATGTATTTTCTATAAAAGATATAATTATATATCTTTTTTTTATTGAATTTATAGCAATTATGTATTAAATATACAAGATAAGAAATTCATTAATTTTTAAAACTATATAATCAATTTTCAAAATGATACAATATTAAAGATTCTAATAATTCAATTTGATTTGATTCTTGATTCTCAAATTTATATTAAATTTATATATGGGTTATAATCTATTATTATTTTTAATAATGTTTTGAACCTTATATAAGTTTATGCAAGTTTGTTTGATTCTAATTTTCAGGACCATATACAATATTGGTTTTTTTCTAATAGGTTTGAAATCAAACACAATGAGATATTATAAATACAGTAATTAAGAGTTATTCAGAATTGGTCCTTTACTTTTTTACAAATTTAAAAGATACATCTGTTTAAATATCTATGAAAGTGTCATTATACTTACTATAAATATTTTATTTAGGAAGTGTAAAATAAGTAAAACTATTGGTATCAATCAACTGTCTCTTTATACCTATTAATACATTCCATGGTTTACCTTATTAAATTCACATAATTCCTATTTTTATTACATTAATGGAAAGAGCACTTAGAGAACTAATTCAATTCCTATTGCCAGACAGACAGATTAACTTATGTCAACTACTATCTTCGTGCATTTCGTCTGGGAATTGTGGTATACACAAATATGCTGTCAGAAGCTAGAATCAGTGATTTTTTTATTGAGAATCTCGATCATAATATTATCCATATCCTTGTAGAACCGAACAAAAGATATATAGCTTTTCGTCATATAAAACTCTAGAAGAATTAAAAGAGGTGTTCTGCATTTCCATTGTATAGTTTTCAAGGAAATTGATGACAATGGAGCACGAGACTTTTGAATCTGGAAACAATACAAGATAGTACCAATGAGGCCACGCATTGTGCATTCATTACGTCGATATTAAACGCATCTCTAGCCATCATTCAATGACTTACCAAAGAAGAAAAAATCTATATCACATATCAAAAAGGTATTTCCGGTGAGGAGGCATCTGATCGTGTCGATTTTGCAATAAAAGGAAACGAAGATCTTATGTGTATAGCTGAAGGAAAGCCTCGTAACGTCGAGATCGGTTACCTCCAGAATATAATGCAACTAGAAAGTGCGTAACCACACAATAAGAAAAAACGCATGGCGGATTAAGCATTTCGAGATGATGATGATTTCTACGGGTATATTAAAACGTTCACATTTATGGTTATCTTGGAAACAATTGGTCTTACTAGCTCAGCTAATAGAAATTTGTTATTTATTTCTTAGCCACGGAATGGCATTTTATCGTTTTTGCTACGGACGGTCTTTAATGTACTAGTAAAAACGAATATCGAATTAATCTTTCCAAAACGGCGCTCGAGGAAGATCTTGAATCAATTCGAGAAGGGATTAAACGAGTGTTAGGTGTCATCGTCGGTCTATTAAAAGATCGGGTAACTGTTAAAACTATTAAAACCTCTCCTGCTAGTAAGAGGGTCAGAATCACATATTTCAAGTATACAGCGATAGGTGTATTATAACAATAAAAAAGCAACCTTCTGATTTGTATTTTTTTAACTACTATCTATTTTTATTGTAACAATAAAGCAAGTGTACATACATTTTTCGGTGTACTTTCGAAGTTCTTCACATATCACGTATCTAAACTAATTTAGTTCGGGCGTGACTTTCATATCACTGACGTAGTAATATCTTAAGTGTGAAAAAAGTATATTTTTCTTGGCAAAATGGTCGGCGTTATAAATTGTAACGCATGAAGAATATTGGATTTTCTAAAAAAGTTTTGTAAACGAAGACCCATATATAACCATTTCAGAGCATTCAGAATGGAGAAAACTTCATACAGCAATGTATTTAAAATGCGCAATTGCTTGTTTATTATTTAGTAAAACATATTGATGAGATCAAATCACATAATATTAAAATATGTACAGTATTTTAGTGAGTGCATAATTTTTTTCAGAGGCTGTTTCTATTCAAACTAAGCCATTCTCGAACTGGTGTAAAATTATTAGATATTTCCATGCATGACTTTGAATAATCGTGAAGAACATCCATATTGGATTCGAAAGTAGCCTGCGTGCAGAAGCATTAGTATTAGATAATTCTTTATTTTGAAATATGTCATACCTTAAATTAATTAAGAAAAAGAAATACTACCTTAACTGTAAGAAGGAGAACAATAATGTCGACAGTGTAAGGAAAGGTCGAATATTCAAAAGAGTAATTAACTGTTAGTATCCTTTCAGCGACAAATGTTTTAGGAGCACCCAAATTCAATCTAAACAGTTCGCCTTTGTCCTCTATATTTTGAATAAAGATCTTAGCCAGTAATAAATAACAATAGAGCAAAAAACGATAATTAAAAAACTTACTGTACAACACATATGCTAATACGTAATACTTCTTTGCAAATTCTACGTCTCCATTTCCATTCCAAAAAGTTTTGCAAATAGAATCTACAGAGTTTCGAAAACATTTTAAAAGATCACCATTATACTTCGGATTTTTGGTCTTCAACGGTGGACCGATATTCTCAAAAAGTAAGAACTCTTGACTGGTATTTTCATAATTAAAAAGAATACCATCTGCCTTGCGTGCAGAGGCGTTACTGTTGCGATAAACCATTTCACGACGCCATTTAGATGAAGGAACATCATTTTCATTCCTGCCAAAAAGCATAGTTAGATTAGTAAGTGATATAGGTTTGACATTTGTTCTTATTTGACTTACCATCTGCTGATGAACAACTTCGGAAAACAAAATTTTAGAATTTCAAAATCGGGTGATACTATTGTTGATGTGTATGTATTCTCATCCATAAGCAAATCAAGTTTATTGCCATGTCCGGCTTGAAATTGCATAAGTTTGATTTCTAATATTCGTTTTATAAATTCAACATGTTTTGTATCAAAACCTTCAATAGTAGTTGTTGATCGAATATTTGATATCGTGGTTTTTATTTTACGCTAAATGCGAAATTAACATGTTAATAAAAAATAAACAAAAGAGTGATAAATATATTTATTCTCTTTACAGCATAATTTTCTTGTATCCACTTTTTAAGTCCATCAACCTTAATGTGAGGTGGAGTTTGGGATTGTGCTTCTTCCTTTAATCTACTGAAAGACTCTTTAATTATTAAAGGAGGCTTATTCGAACTTATATCGATGATATCTGCTTCTGTTAAACTGTTTAACGAAAGTGATCTGCATGTGAGGGTAATTTACATTATGGTTGTTGGAAGAAATAACAGTAATACCTTTTTTCAAATTCATCGTCAGTTAACTCATCTTCTTCTTCATAATTAGCTTTATGATTTTCTAATGCATCGCAACCTTGTGTATCTTGCTCAAGTTTACCGGCTAATTCTTCACTAGTGGTAGTGTTTTCTGCTTGTTTCTGAGTCGTAGATTCCAACAAAGGTTCCTTCCTCATTTCTTCAGTTAGTTTTTCTTGAAAATCCAAAACTTGGTCACTCGCATTTTGCAAGGTTTCAACCTTATGTTTTTTCTGCAATGCAAATATAAAATTAAATATTATGCTCTCAATAACCACGAAAAGGTGTTCGGTAGATTTACCACAATCCGATCAGTTTGTAACTCGTTGTACGCTTCTAATCGTTTCATTTTTTGTTTTTTTTTATATAAGAAAAGACTAATTAATGAAATTTTATTTAATTCAGTACTCGTGCTGAAAATATCAAATCACGTATTTAGAAATGCGTACCGTGTTGACATCTTTGGGTCAGCAAGCTTTTCTACGAAACGAAGATAGTTACATTAATACAAAAGTTTTAATAACATTGATTTGTATAGATTTGCTTGGTTGCCACTATACAAGTTAGAGTCGCCAAAGAAAAATGACACTCAGGGTTTCGTTCAACACAAAATATGGAAGAGTACCCCCTAATTGTACTCCAAGGTAACAAGTTAATTATTAACTTGAAACGGAAATCGTGGCACCTGCATAACGTTAGGCGCATTGCCATAATAGCAACCCCAGGGTTTCGTTCAACACCGGTGTTTAAGAGTGGAAGAGTACCCCATAAATTACGCACAAATCTTGTTCTTTTTAAGACCGGAAAACAAAAACTTGCCTTTGATTTTGATTTCGAGACACGAAAATGCAAATCATTTATTTGTTTATCATGAAATTCAAATATCATGTGATCAATTTTATTGTTGAGTTATTTACAATTCTTGCAATCGGATTGGTCAAACTCGTGACTTACCCGCTTTAACGACCCCTTTCATAAATCAAACTGTATAGAACAATGGCAAGTATGCAATCCCAATTCACAATCGATTCGTTGTAAAAGTTAAATTTTAAGCTTGTTCACCAAATTGATGAACTCAAAAAGAAGACACAAGATTAAAGCAAGTTATAAAAGAAAATGTTATGCTTGAAATCAGACTTGAAGAATTAGAAAAGAAAAATAAAACATCTTTATTGCCGAGAATGCTGAACTTAAAAACAGAGTTATGAAACTAGAACAGAAGCAGGTTCAAGTCATTACTAATGAATAAGAAAAATCATATTCAAAATTATATATGTGATAAAATTAAATTCAAAAATCATATTATTATTAAAAACATAATAAATTAATTGGAAATCATATTACCATATATGATAAGGATCAAAATTATCAGTAAATATCCAGATTCAAATACAAAGTATTGTTTTTTTAAAAATAAAAAATGAGTTTAAATAATTACCATTTATTCAATTTTTTATCAAAAATCAATTTACCATAAACCACTGTATACAATATCCCTCTTGAATAATATTTTTCCTGATTTTTTAATAGTACTTTTTTTTTTTTCTTAAATAATTTTTCTGGTAAAATGATTAATACCTAGAGTATTGTATGTAGTAATTTATGATAATAAAAAAAATATATCAATTCAAATTATACATATAATTATATTGTTGATCTTTATCATATATGATAATATGATTTTCAATTAAATATAATTGCCAATTAATTTACTATTTTTTTAATAGTAATATGGTTTTTGAAAAATATTTGAATTCAAAAATTTTTAATAACTCTTTTTTAATTATATTTGTTTTGTTAAAATTTTTTCTTTTATAGTAATTTTAAGCAAGAAAAATGTTTATACTCTTTATCACAATTAAATCTCAGCTTAAAAATTCAAAAACTTTCAAAATAACTAATATAATAAAATAGAATTTTTGATTAAAATCTATTCAAGTTTAAAAATCTTACTTATTCTTTAGTTATATAAGAAAAGAAAAACTTATGGTAGTTCTTTTTTCTTTATTTTTTTGTATTTCTTCCTATCTTTATTATATTATAAAAATTATTTATATCAATATCATTATACCTACTAAATTATACATATGATGTAAATTATTTTGCTGTTGACTCAATTCCCAAAATCCTCAAAAATAATTGCGTCATGACTCAATTATTTACAGTAGTATGCAAAAAAAACCAGAATTTTTTTTAACACATATTTTTATTAATAAATCAATATAGAATTATTTAAATGTTATAAAA